ACAGTTTCAAACCTCATTTTTTCCAGATTCGAATGGACATTTAGCCCTGCTGTTTAACACGACGCAGGCAGAGGAGATGAACGCGTTGATTAAAATTGCAATGAAATCTACTAGCTGAGAGGATTTGGTAAATGAAATGAAGGCTCCTAGAATCACTTGACAACTTGTAGAGGTAGTTAATAAAATGGTATACCCTCTGGTAAACCAACATAGCTATTGAAAATGGCCATTTATGGTGGATTTACCCATTAGAAATGGTGATTTTCCATAGTTACGTAAACGTTTACCAGAGGGTATTGTGGCTAGATTTGGCTCGGAGAATCTCTGAACTAATCATAACTAATCATCAACCAACTCAGGATCTGGATGGTAGTCAATAAAATGATATAAAATGATTCGTCAACCCCCAAGATATGAAAGTCAGATATGAAATCCCTAAGTCTCTGCCAAGGGCCCATCAAATTCGCTCAAGGAACCCTCGTCCAGAAAACGGTCAGGGGGAAATACTCTTCCAACCATTTAAGGCGTTGCATGGCGTTGCTCAGAAATGGTGTTTCTACCACAAGATCGTGAATCTTTCATGTGGAAAATCCGGATCAACCATAGGAAGTCTGCTAAATTTTGGATGGTTTTGGATGATGTTGGATGATGCTGGATGATGTTGGATCATTGTCCAATAATTGTTGGATCATTTTCTGGTTGGTGGTATACCTACCCCTCTGAAAAATGATGGAGTGAAAGTCAGTTGGGATGATGGCGTTCCGTTCCCAACTGTTTCTGGAAAGTCATTCAAAATTCCCATGGTTCCAGTCGCCACCAGTTTTGGATGATTTTGGCCTATACAACCATACCCCATCTATCCCGACCCCAACTTCTCTCCTGATCCAAAAACTCCATGTTCGTCACCTGGTGGGGGGAATCTCGGTCTTCGTCACCGGGCCGGGCCCCGGGGGCCGGGCCGCAACGGGGTTCCATGGGATGAGTGGCCCCAACATCCACGGCTGTGTTCCTTTGACTTTGATGAAATCAAGACATGAATAAAGTAAGTCGGCATGCAACAATCTGATGTCTTATGTCTTATGGAAAAATATCTAAAATCATCTCTTAGTTGGCAACAAAAAAAAATATATAGAAAATGAAGTCAAATCAATGGCTTCCCATATTGTCATCCAACTCTATCCACTGTCGTCACAACCTCTGTGAAGGAGACCATTTCTTGAGATTGAGAATATGTCGTCCCCTGACATCCCCAAGATCCAATCTATTGCCAGTATATTCAGTAGATCATTAACATTCATTAACCAATATATCCAATATTAGACCCTTAAATTCCCCAGTTTCAGACACACCTTCCTTCCCACTGATAAAACGCTCGTGGTCCCCACCGTCAGGTAGGTGTCGGAGATGGCTTGAGCCACCGGCGTGGTCTGTTCGAAGAGCGGAGAACGCACGTAGACCAGGACGTGCGTCCAGTTCTGACCAGTTGGATGGCTGGAGGGTGAACAAAAAGATGCGAAACTTGGAGACAAGAGCAGCGATATGAGTAGTAAGTAAATCTTACAGTAACTATAGTAACTATAGTAACTATAGTAACTATAGTAACTATAGTAACTTAGTAACTATAGTAACTATACTATAGTAACTATGGTAACTATAGTAACTATAGTACAAAAGTATTGTAGTGTTTTTGTCTGACATGTTGTAACTATAGTAAGTACGACAGTGTCACTGTCACGTTCTTCTTTGCCACATGATGTATCTATACATACTGTAGATACAACAAGTGCCTGTATTGATATCTGGAATGCAGCCATCACAGGTAGACGGACAGTTGGCACGACCAGCCTGCCAGAGAATAGAACCCTCGCATCATTTGCGATCTTGGAAACCCTTGCAAGAGCAAAACTCTAGCAGCATAATTAGCATAACACAATACTATGTTATAATATGTAATATACAGCCCCTCTTCATGCTGAAATAATTAAGTGTGATTTTGTCAATCCATATAGATCTATCTATTACAAGTTACTACATATATATATATATATATGTACATATATATATATATACATTTATATGCCTCTATTATCCATTAGAGTTAACCTTCCAAAAACAGCTAAAAACTGCACCTCCACCCGGGGCCCCACCGGGCCTCCAGGGGCGTGTCGACCCAGACGTCCACCCGGTTGATGCCCACCGGGACGATGGCGCCCATCTGTGAGCGACCCTCCCCGGAGGCCGACCATGCCAGGTACATCACGTAGTACTCGGTGCCTGGGAGGAAAATCCGGAGAATCCACCGGAAAATCCGGAAAATCCATGGGAAAATTCTGGGGAAGTCATGGGAAATCTGGAGAAACTACTGGGAGTTTTTTTGATCAAAAAACGATGGAGTCCAATGGATTGGTTTGAAAAATGCTGACCGGAAACAATGGTTTTGACCCTCAAACATCATCCTGTTCTGGCACTATGATCATGCTAAGTCACCAGGCATCAGCAATATACGAATCTGGAACATGATTGGGGTTTTGTGAACATGCAAGAATTCAACAAAGCCAGGTTTCGAAGCAGTTGAAACGAGGATCAAACACTCTGAAACCGGCCAGGGGCAGGTCCTTTTCACATTGAGAACAAGGGGGAAAAAAACACAGATCTCTCAGTCCTGACGACTCCTGGGAGTATCTGTGGTCGGCATCAAAGCTGCAGGGTACAGCATCCCTATGAAATCATCCAAAATCCATCGGGAACTCCGCAGGTAGGACGCCATGGAGGTGGTTCAAGAAGGGAAGATGACGAAAAATCCAACGGTCTGCTAAACTCTAAAGAGTGGCTCTCCAGGAATTCCCAACCAAATCTCAAGAGATTTGTCCAAGTCCTAAACCACTATGGGGCAACTATGGTAGATATACCATCTGGTTATGACATTGCCACTTCGCCATGGAAAGATCCACCATGCTATTAAGAACGGTAAACCAATAAATCTCTATTTCGATTAGGGCCATCTATACCATGGCGAACTGTTAGTCATAACCAGAGGGTAGTTCCTATAGTTCATGTTTGTGGGTTTTCTAAAGCAACGTTCACATCACTGGGGCCATCCAGCCGTCCCCGAAACCCCGGAAGTAGGCAGGGCTCGATAGATGTAGTCCGGCGGGCTGAAGAACGACGGACCACCTGGACGAATTGTTGGTTGGGCTTTCTGGGCCGATGGTGAAGCTGGTGAAATGCACATGTGAAAAACCATGGTTGATGTTTATATGGGTTTATATGGGTTTATATGGGTTTATATGGGTTTATATGGGTTTATATGGGTTTATATGGGTTTATACCAACCAACTTGTAGCTGCTTGATATATATCGAACATTATCGAACTATATAATTAGATATAATTGTTTTTTTATCAACCAACTTAACTTTTAGCTGATTGGTTGAGCCCTGAACAATGTGGGGATCATCGCAGAAGAAATATGCGTTCTCCATCTCCAGTGATATCCGACAGCTTCACTCAAGATCCACGCGTCATCAGTTACACAGATCCCCCCCTGGTTCTCGTAAATCCCTTGAAATCTGACGTAAAAAAAAACAAGTCAATTCTTTGGTAAACCATCTATCATCATAGAAACCTGCTTTTTTTAACAGGGGCTAGTTTCAAAGCCCTCTTTTTTCATCAACCAATGGGAATTTGGGACATCTGCCAGGCCCTGCGGCACCCGTTGTCTCGGCACCTATCTCGCCGAGGTCCAGGTCCCGGTCGAGCCACTGGAAATCGGTCACGTTGGCCTTGGGACGTCCAGTCCCGCTGAGCGATGCTGAGCAAAGGGGCCCCATTTGGTGGATGATTTTTGTTGGGGGATTGTACTAGCCTTATATATATATAATATATATATAATATATATATATAATATATATATATATATACTGTACTGTATTTTATATATATATATATACACAGAGAGTGACAGGGTAGTATACCTCCTTGAACAGATCCGAACAGGGCTTTTAACACTGCTCAACCGGTGACTAACCAAACCTCAGTTTGAAGGATGCTTCGGGCAGTTGAATAGTGCTTCGAGTGGTTAAAGGCTGGTGAAACTGTACTCAATGGATTGACTTTGGAAATTTAGCGAAAATGGGCGGAAAAAACCGTGGTTTCTACGCCATGAATGTTTGTCAGCCAAGCAATTCTTGGAAGCATCGAAGCCCAACCCGGTGGCAAAGATTTTGGCGAAAAAAAAACAGACCCTGGGGGAAAAGTGTCCTAACCCCATGCAGTCGCGCTGCAAATTTTGGTTTGGCCGTTTGGCCCTTCTACTGCAATGTGGTCTTAGTCTTCAAACTTTGGCGGTAACAATTCTGAACGCATGCGCAGGACGATTTCTTTTTGATTTCTTTGGGCTCGATCTGAGGCTTCCCAATGCTTAGACAAGTGTGACCTGCTCCTGCACTTCCGAGCTGTCACCACCCCAGTCTGGATGGCCCCATGTAACCACAGATCCATCTGCCAGGAGTGCTGCAAATGCACCACAGTCTGTGGCGTGAAGCTGCTGCACATTCCTGAGTTGATCTTGGACAGCAGAGCTGTCACCACCCAATTCTGGTTTGCCCCATGTAATCACAGATCCATCTGCCAGGAGTGCTGCAAATGCACTGTCTGTGGCCTGAAGCTGCTGCAAATTCCTGAGCTGATCTTGAACAGCAGAGAAGGCGCGACAAAAATCTGGATCGCCCCATGCAACCACGGATCCATCTGCCAAAATGGCAGCAAATGCACAAGGTGCGGATTGAATCTGCTGCACATTCCTGAGCTGATCTTGGACAGCAGAGCTGTCACCACCCCATTCTGGATCGCCCCACGTAACCACGGATCCATCTTCCAAGATGGCAGCAAATGCACCCTGTGAGGCTCGAATTTGCTGCACACTCCTGAGCTGATCTTGGACAGCAGAGCTGTCACCACCGTAAGCTGGATCGCCCCACGTAACCACGGATCCATCTTCCAAGATGGCAGCCAATGTGCGGCAGCCTTCAATCTGCTTCACACTCCTGAGCTGATCTTGGACAGCAGAGCTGTCGCCACCCAAATCTGGAAATCCCCACGCAACCACGGATCCATCTTCCAAGATGGCAGCAAATGCGCCATGCGAGGCATGGATATGCTGTACATTCCTGAGCTGATCTTGGACAGCAGAGGTGTCGCCACCATTTTCTGAATCGCCCCATGTAACCACAGATCCATCTGCCAGGAGTGCTGCAAATGCACTGTCTGTGGACTCAAGCTGCTGCACATTCCTGAGCTGATCTTGGACAGCAGAGCTGTCACCACCCCATTCTTCATGTCCCCATGTAATCACAGATCCGTCTGCCAAGACGGCAGCAAATGCATGATATGAGGCTTGAACCTGCTGGACACTCCTGAGCTGATCTTGCACTTCAGAGCTGTCGCCACCACAGCTTGAATCGCCCCACGTGACGACTGTGTCATCACCGCAGCGCCACAGGGCAAAGGCTCCGGCCGTTGCTGCCAGCTGTGCTTTTTGCTGTGCAATGGCAGTGATGTGGTCTCCGTCTTGAATCCCTGCTGCCTGCAAAGATTTCCGCTGGTCATTGAGGACATTCCCTTGTGCAGTGACAAGTCTCAGGAAGCTTTGTCCGAAAGACTCTTGGGCCAGAATAATCAGGTCCCCTACTTTGGAGGACTCCAAAACTGCAAGTCTCTTCCTCTTTCCGCTGGGCAAAGCGACATTTATTCTAAGAATTTGGTGAGAATTATCTTCACTGGCTCGAGCCATTTGAACTCTGGCGCATACACAAATAACTCACCCAACAAACATGGGAATGTCATCCGTGGATCATGTTCTTTTTCTTTCAACAAAGACTATGCCATCAAATTTCGCCTTCAACGACAACGGCCACACCCAACAACTGCCAAGCGGCAAAGGCATCGTAGAACTCATGCGTCACCGGAGTGCTCTGCTCACGCAGCGAAGAGTAGGAGTGGATGTTGATGTACCTGCCAGGGGTACTAGACCAACGTGGGGCTTTAACCAACCGAAAGAGGTGGATCTAACTTTGCAAAATGGGGATTGATGAATGATTTATGATAAATTGTAAACATTGCTAGACTGACATTGATTGACGATGATTTGTGGCAGATAAATATATATATATATAATGTGTATATATATATATATATTGTATATAATATGTATATATATATATTATGCTTATGAATATATATATATATATATTATATATACATGCAATTATGTATATATTCTATTGTGTATATACATATATATATATGTATATAATATCATATAATATCCATAGTTCTGTGGGAATCAAAACCCACAGGGGAGGCCCATTTTTTTATAGCACCCCAGCTGCGGCCCCTCGGATGAGAACCGGAAGGATGTCAACGGGGGATGAACCCCCAAAAGTCGAATTAATAGGTGTTCACTCATCCCCCATAGTATTCTACTTTTACACAATGTGTATATATACTATTATTATTATATTATTATTATGATTATATACTATTATATATATATATGTGTGTGTGTATATGTATTGTTATGATTATTACTATTGTTATTTTTATAATATCATTACTATTATTATTTTATATATATATATTGTTCAAAATGGATAGATTGGAAAGCACCTATCACTTCAAACAAAACTACTTCAAGCCATGAGTTTTTCGACAAAATCATAGGGCCAACGATCTCCAGCTACAACATCGCGCACCGGTTGGCAGCCACGATGGTATTTTCGGGCACCAGGTAATCGGTTTTGGACACCTCGGCCCAAACACAACTGAGTGTCTCCGGAAAAATCCCAGGATGTTGGGAAATCACCAATGGTTTCACCAATGATTTGCGAAGCTTTTTTTTTTCCACCATGATTTTCGGGGAAAATCACCCATGGTCCCCAAAAAAGGGTGGAAACTCCGGAAAAATCATGTGGAAATCACCCTATAGGCGAAATCTCGAGGTCTTTAGCTGGGAAAATCATCGAACTTTAAATGGTTCATTGAGGGTAGAAAGGCTCAGTGGTGATTCTGATTTTCGCGCGGAAAAAAGTGATGGTCGATGTTGGTCGGCATCAAAGATCAGGAATTCAACCAAGAATTTCTGGTTTCCCCCAAATCCTGTGATTTCAAGCCTGAATTTTCACATATTTTCACTATATCAAGATTGCCATGGCATGGATATCCCTACTTCTTTGGACCCAAAAAGATAGAAATTCTTGGTGAACAATTCTACATCCAAGATTGTTCTTTTGCATCCCTGTGAAATGATTGGCTTTCAGCACCATCTTTGGTCCTTCCCCGACTTTCGCGTTCGAGTTGACGTCCAAGTCACGGCCACACTCGACAACTGCGTGCGCACGCTGCTGCTGGTGTCTTCCTCGATTCAAGGGCTGGTTGGGTGGTCGGATCAAGTTTAAGGAAGAAAATAGTGCCAAAAGCCATGATTTAAGGCTTGTTTTAATGACTTTAATGAAGGCATTTGTGAGAGGAAACATCAAAGACCGCTATAAAAATGGAAGATTGGGGGTGTCCTGCACATCTTGAACTTCCCATGTTTCCTTGGTAAAATCATTCATGCACCATTTCGGGTGATGAAATCTGTCAGTTCCGCGGATAGCCGGAACATTGTTTTAAGCTGGTAGGACTAATGGCAGGGTAACATAGTTCCATTTACAGCAAATGACTGGTGGTTTCAAGCTCCCCAATTTTCACTCTGTGGGATCATCATCCCTATCCCATTTCTAGGCCTAAAAATATGGTTTTTCAGTTTCAAAACACCAAAGAGTTGATCCAGATACCCTCTGGTTATGACGAACATAGCCATGGAACATGGTCCATTTATAGATGATTTTCCCATTCAAAGCTACATTTATCAGGGATTTTCCATTGTTAGTCATAAGCAGATAGTATCCATCCAGTAGTCCAGCCAGGACCCAGGACCATGGCTGACCCACAAAAAAAACACACCAGCGCCGCCATGTTTCGGCCACATAGATGTGATATCCCACGATGCGCCCCAAGATGCTTGGCAGTTGCCACACCTAAATTGGCCGAGTTGGTGCAAATCTCTCAATTGGAGGCTTGATGGTGATACAGTGATACCTGTTGTTAGTTGGGTGATCAAATGGTGATATGAAAAATGATATTACTCTATTACCATTACGGCCATGTTTTTGGGATATGAAATCATAGGGATATGTGATACCAAATTATGGCATATTATCATATCTGGTTGGTGGTATACCTACCCCTCTGAAAAATGATGGAGTTCGTCAGTTGGGATGATGATTCCCAACTGAATGGAAAGTCATAAAATTCCATGGTTCCAGTCACCACCAACCAGATCATATGATCAATGTTTATCACATTTTATCACCATATACCTATGCTATTCATAAACCGACCAAGCCCTTCACCAAGCCTGACTGGGAGCCTGACTTCGGAAAGGCCTGAGGCCCGGGCCAGTTCGCCACCAATATCTCCATCATCCAAGTCCTTAGGATCTGCATCGGCTGATCTACACTGCTTGGTGGTTGACCTACCCGTCTGAAAAGTGATGGAGTTCGTCAGTTGGCATGATGACATTCCCAACTGTTTCTGGAAAGTCATTCTAAATTCCATGGTTCCAGTCACCAGTCAATTGGGACCAGGGTTTCATTTGGGGGTACCCTCTGGTAATTTGTTACAGTTCGCTATTGAAAATGGCTATTGAAATAGTTGATATCCCAATTTAAAAATGGTGGATCTTTCCATAGTTATGCGTTTACCAGAGGGTAAGGATGTGTTTTCTGAAAAAGTTATTCTTCGAAAGTTTGTTCGAATTTTGTTTGGAAATAAATCATTCCAGCACTCCGGATGTTCGGATTTTTTTTTGTGGATATGGCTGGAAACTACTTGAGGTTGGATGAAATATGTTAGAACTAAACATGAGAGAGTTTAGTTGTGAATACATTCCTACCCCATGTTCCTTGCAATGACTTTCCCCAATGAAGTTGGTGGCTGGATCTTACTTCACCACCACCATCATCCTCGTTGAAGACTGCTTGGTTGAACACAGTATTTCCAGTTCATGGGTCAGTCCACAATCCCCAATGAACCAACCAGGAAGTGTAAACCAAATATTTAACCCACTAACGTCAATCGACCTTCACTTTGGGATTACTCTATATTCCAACATGTTTAATTCTTAAAACCTCATAGAAACCCCCAGCGAATGATCGTCACCTCCGAAGAAACAATCAACCAGCATTCATACTGGTCATCCCTCTTTATAAACTGATATAAACTGGTTGGTTGTCTCAAATCCCAGAATTTAAAATTGTCGGTCTCTAATCCCCAATAAACGAGGTAGTTTCTCATCCTACAACAATCATCAACCAACCATGATTTATCAACCAAGCATCATTAATATCATTTAATATCACCATTTAGTTTTGATCATCAAACCCATCAAACCCCCCCATTAATAATCATTAATATGGTTAGATCCCTATCAACCAATCAACAGGGTTCATTTTATCAATCAGGGCTCTTAAACAACCAAAACATACCAAAACTGACTCACCAGTCAGGCCCCAGCCACTGCTCCCGATGCTCCACCCTGTTTCCAAGATACGTCATCGGTCAGATTGATCTCCTTCACCGAGGCGTTGATCGCGGCGCCGGCAAAGGAGAGGAACGACGGGGTCGTGGCTTCGGCCAGCGCCTGCCACGGAAGTGACGACCCGTTGCGTCGTGAGTGGTGGCTGCAACTTGGCAAGTTGGAAAGCTGGAAATGGATGGAAACTGAAACATGGGTCTTTTTCACATGGAACAACAGTCTTCTCTTTTGGTTAGTTCGATCTTGGTTGGTTAGTTGGTTAGTTGGCGAGTTTGTTGGGATGATGGGAGGATTTTTTTGTTCCAGGTGCAAAACATGGAAACAAATAGCTGTGAAACCAGCGAACACGGAGTCACGGAGTCTCGTAACGCTGGTTCCAAGTCTGCCAAAGAGTGATGGAGAGAACCTCAAAAAAAGATTAATTTGGTTGCGGTTGGTTGGTTGGTTGGTTGCTTGGTTGCTTGGTTGCTTGGTTGGTTGGTTGGTTGCTTGCTTGGTTGGTTGGTTGCTTGCTTGGTTGCTTGCTTGCTTGGTTGGTTGGTTGGTTGGTTGGGATACAGTAGTTTTCCTCTTCAAGGAAAAAAGATAGCAGGGGGTGGTTGGTGTCCTATGAGATGTTTGACTTAGGCCTAAACAAAATCGAGAAGTTAACCAATCAAAGCGGTGTGAGAATTTGATCAAATAGCCAGAAAGGGCACTGGTGAGATACAGATGGACATAGCTATATCATAAACTTTGGCATCCCGCAAAATTGGAAGAAAATGGTGCATTACATAGGACGACTCGCTGGGTTCCATGTGTGATAGGTGCAATAAAGATTCAAAATAGGTCTTGTTCTTCATGGTGCATTTGAATTCACCATGAAAAAAAACATCCTTGTTCTTGTACAGAAGAAAGACATGCAATTCCAATAGCATAGTTCTGGGATAATAGGCCGTGATTTACAATAGCATGTTATAACTGAGCATAACATCCTAGTTATGGTTATGCAAGTTATAACATGCTATTGTAAATAATGGTCTATGCTAATGAAAATCATGTCTTACCATAAAGATTTACGAATGCTCCATGATTTTCTATCCAGACTTCCAGCCACCATCAGCCATCGCACCGAGCGAGAGAAGACCACGAAGTGCGAATAGCTGTCCCGGTAGGTGCCACTGGGTACTGCAAAGCTGTTGACGCCTTCAGCTTCGGACGAAGCTTAGGGGCGCAGGGGCCCGGTACCCTCTGGTGAAACTATCATAGCCATGGAAAATCTATCAATTGTAGATTGGTTGGTGGTATACCTACCCCTCTGAAAAATGATGGAGTTCGTCAGTTGGGATGGTTATTCCATTCCCAACAGTAATGGAAAGTCATTCAAAATTCCATGGTTCCAGTCACCACCAACCAGTAGATCATTTTGTGAAGAAAACCCATGGGATTTCCATAGCGATTCCATCCGACATGACCTGCAGGACCTGCAGCAGTGAAAAATACCAGCCTGGCTTGCCGCAATGTCTGAACAGCTACACCAAAAAATCCACTGGTTTTTTTCGACCATTTGTTGTCCGCATGAAATTGATCTAAAAATAAGCACTTTCATTTCTCATTCAAATTCCAATCTCATATCTTAAGTTGCTTTTACATCGCATGAAATGTCCCATGAACATCCGATGTGCATGGCGAAAAAATATCCAAAATCCCCAGTGTGTCCAATTCTGTCCCATGGGCCTTCCTTGGTTCCACCCAGCCCATTCCCATTAGGTGGGCTGCCTCCAAACGTTAGCTAAGTTGTGCTTCAGTTCACTAGGTGAAGTATGATTTATGGTGGATACTCTATGGTAAATTAAGAGTTGGATCCCGAAAACCACCCATGTTTCACTATGTTTCACTCATCTTCCCCAGCTCATGACAGGGTCGTCAGGTTGGGGTCAACCAACTTCGGGCACCAGCTGTCACCACTTGCCAAGGGGCCAAAGGGCACTTCGCCCTGCTGGATGTATGGCAAAGCGCCGGACAGCTCCAGCTCCGTCAAGTTGTAGCCTGGGGGCTAAGCCATGGTGCTCCTGATTTCATGGGAATTTCATGAACAAAGGGATGAATGGGGGGAGATTTCATGAGATTTAATGAGAAATTCTGATTCATAGGATCACACCAACACTGGAGACATGAAAAGAGAATTTCTACCCTCTGGTTGGTGGTATACCTACCCCTCTGAAAAATATGAGTTCGTCAGTTGGGCTGATGAGATTCCCAATACATGGAAAGTCATTCAAAATTCCATGGTTCCAGTCACCACCAACCAGCCCTCTAAGTTAACAAAGCCATGGAAAATCGCCACCAAAATTTTGCTCGGTAAATCCATCGTATAAAAGGGACATGTTCCATGGGAAACTGTCTCAGGTTGACTATACGTGGGGGTGATCCACAGAAACATATGAGCATGTTTGGATTATATTCGATAAGACCAGTGGGTAATAAGTGGACAATATCAAGGGATAAGATCATCCAGAAAGGGGATTTTTTTCTAGGATTTAACTAGTTGATAGCAATGATTTGGCTGCGACTCAACGATCAAAAATGGTAAATGTTAGATGATGAACCAGTGGTTTGACGATTGTTTACTTTGGGTCTCCACCCCACAAAAAGTATCAGGGGATACTTTTTTTGGGCCCATCTGCATGATGGGGATAAGCTGGTGAATTTATCATGGTACTCGGGTACCAAGCGCTTCAAAAGCGGGTGGTAACCACATGGAATAACCCAGTTATATATATATAATTAGATTAGTGGAATAGCGTCAGCTCATTCCAGTCCTACAATGGATTTGGTTTGGTTTACAATCATTTACAATCAAATTGGTGTAAGTGGGATGCTCATCCAAGTGAGAAGATCAATATAATTTGGATCGATCTTTTCCAAAGTTTTCCAGGGGAGGTGTGCCAAGAATCACTGGAGTTATCCAGTGAACCCCCAGTTCAAAGTAGCCATATAAGAAATCACCCCTTCTGGATTTCCTGGCAAGAAACACATCACAGGACTGGTTGGTGGTTTTAACCATCTTGAAAAATATGAAAGTCAATGGGAAATATGATTGAAACCACCAACCAGAGGAGTTTTTTTTTCAACCTGCTTCATGGATGCTTCCCCCCCTATCAAAGGTCCATCACTGGACTGCTTCGCATCCCGCTGCCAAGGGGCCGTCCAAACTTCCGGTCCAGTTGACCAGTTCTTTGTTCAAACCATCCGCGGACTGGGCGAGGTACACCGCGTACCTCGGCTTGGGCCAGTTCCGCCTCTGGAAACCAAACATGGCTAGCCATGCAGGTTTAGAACTGGGAAAATCATCGAACTAAATGGTGGATTTTCCAGCTAGCCATGTTTGATTATCGAATTTTTGACAATGAACCGGATGGTTAGATGGTTCTTGAAGTTGGCAAACGCTTCAGAAACCATCCCACACAACGCGACGCAGGCGAAGCGTTGACACACTGGCAAGGCACGACAAGGTTAAAATGAAGGAGACCCCCGAACGATTCAGAAACCAAGTATTGAGTTGAATCTTTTAGACCAACTTGATTCTTTGCCTGGTCATACAGTCATTCAACATCTGCGTATGGATCACCTTGTGCTTCTCTCAAAATCTGCCCAAGAAACACATCTGATTCCCGAAAAAGCAGTCAAAAATCATCCAATTTCCCCAAGAAACACATCTGATTCCCGAAAAACCAGTCAAAAATCATCCAATTTCCCCAAGAAACACATCTGATTCCCGAAAAACCAGTCAAAAATCATCCAATTTCCCCAAGAAACACATCTGATTCCCGAAAAACCAGTCAAAAATCATCCAATTTCCCCAAGAAACACATCTAATTCCCGAAAAACCAGTCAAAAATCATCCAATTTCCCCAAGAAACACATCTAATTCCCGCCAACCAGTGGGTATCCCTGCTGAACTCCAGGTATCCCATGGGACATCCACGGCGTTTTCGACATCGCCGAGGGACGTGATCACCTCGCCAGACACGTTCTCCGGTGGAGTCCAGTCCAACAGGCCCTGCAGGTCCACGATGTCCAGGTCCTGCAGGTCAAAAAAAATGGGCCTGCAGAATGGGATATTTCGATGGTGATGTGCTAAACCTGGTGATCATTAATATATATATATATATATGATTTATGGAGGTTTTCTAAGTCATAGAGGTACCCCAATAGCTGGATTGTTTTTTTTCATGGAAGATCCGACAGTAAAATGGATGATTTTGGGGTATCCCCGTTTTAGGAAACCTCCATATGGGTTTCCTAAGTCATGGAGGTACCCCCAAATCATCCAAGTCACAAGACCCTTTTTAGTATTGAAACCTATGGGTGACTTGGGGATCCCCCATTTCAGCAAGTCTCAATATGTCCCTTTCATGTTGATGGGATATCTTGGGAGACATGGCGGCAGACCATCATCTGGGAGGTAGGGAGATTGACTCGAGGTTTCTGGGATTTACCATCTGGTTATGACATTGCCAGTTCGCCATGGAAAGATCCACCATTTTTAAGTTCGGTAAACCATCTATTTCGATTAGGGCCATCTATACCATGGCAAACTGTTAGTCATAACCAGAGGGTAATGGACGTTGATTGTAATGATCTGGATTTCACCAACAAAAATCAGGGGAGCAAAAGAAACCATATGATGGTAGTGCCACACCGGCGTCCACACTCTCTAACGGAGATGATAGACGGGGCCTCAATCCATATGACAAAGGCGCAAGCTTGGGCTAGTGACTTAGTGCAAATTAAGGGGGCTGTCAAATAGAACATGCGGGCTTCCATTCGCATGAGATGCACAGTAGCTCTATTTTCATGGGCATTCGCTGAAAGATGTTGAAAGCACAACAGCTATGTAAGTCGCCAACTTTTTCTGTCGAAGTCGTAGTTACTGTCATCGTGGCCTTCGCTATGCTGTAGGTTTTCGCCAAGTTGACGGACGTCTTTTTTTCTGTCGAAGTCGTCGTTGCTGTAACCAGATGTAAATGGATACAATCCCCGGATCATAATAAATACCCTCTGGTAAACTAACATAACTATGGAAGATCACCATTTTTAATGGGTAAATCCACTATAAATGGCCATTTTCAATAGCTATGCAACAAATTACCAGAGAGTACCCCCAAATGAAACCCTGCTTTGAGTATTTCAAACCAGACGGGTTTGAAATAGTGACCAACCAACTTTATTGGTAGAAAAATTGGCGCTATATCCCTATCCAAAGCGGGATGTAGGATATCAACGAATATCAACAACCAAAACCCCAGCAGTGGCAGTCGAATGACCAACGGTTTCCACTGCCATTTTGATGTTGGAGTTTTACCCCACATGTTTGCAAAAAAAAACACAAAAAGACCCAGACGTGTCTGCAACTAGGGTACGGAAAAAATCAATGCTTTGAAGTATCTTATTGAATTTAACACTATAATTTTTCCATGAAAACTATCATCAGGGTACTGAAAACTGATAATTCAATACTAGGTTTACCATATGGTTTGCTCATTTTGGAGCACACCCCATTCCTATCGACAAGGCGCCGGTCTAATAATCCCATCTGACACATTTAAGGGCCATGGGCTTCGTGTATCATCCCCAACAGAAAGTACTTTTCTGTTCACCCCAGAATCACGGGGATTTCTGGATCTTATTCCTCCAGAATTATCCAATCTATCCATTAATGGGATGATTTCAAACTTAAGAATATATATATATATTTCCAGCCATTCTATCCACCCAGGGTTCCCCAGGCTTCCCCAGGCTTCCCCAGGCTTCAGTCCTCTCCCACCCAGATGACGTTGGTCACCGGCATGTCCGAGTCAACGATACGAATGTAGGCCGGAGTGCTCTGCTCGGCCCAAGTGGACTTGGCATAGACCAGGATGTAGTCCTGGGAGGACTAGAGAATCCCATGGTGAGAATCCAAAGGTGGCTGATTTCAGAAGGTGATTTCACTGCAAGGTGGTGCCCCCTAGATAGCTAAGTTGGTTTATAACTCCAATAACTATGGTTTATAGGTGATATATCTATAGTTAATGGGATTATAAACCAACTTATAACTTGGGGGGCACCACCTTGTGGGGATGAAATCACCGGCTGGTTTCAGGTACCGAAAATCTCAATTTTCAAAGGTACACCTTCCTGCAGGGATTGGATGATTTCTTGGCAGAAAGCTCACCAGGACCTATGTATAGACCGTCTATAACTTGAAGTTACCGGGATTTTCCCAGAAAATGTGGCCCCATTTTGCTATTTTTCGTAGCTCCAATGGTCCTGAAACTTCCTAGGAGATCCTGGGTCTCTCAGTGGTTGGAGTGGTCTGTTTTAATAGGGAAAGTGTGGGAGAAATGGTGGTTGAATGGGATTTGATGGAAGTTTATGGTGATGTATGAGATCTCACCAACAAAAATTGGATTCCCGTGAAAATGTGTATCAGGATATAACCATTAAAACGTATTTAGAGGACCAAGTGTTGATGTATATTGACCATAGGCACTATAGAACCCGAGTTAATGGAAGATAGAGGAATCCAAGGGAGATATAACCATTAATAGTAGTGGGTATAACCATTAATCGTTGGAGATAAGTCATATGATGTCATATGGTTTATGGATCTTTATGGTATTCTATCCCATGATATTGACAATGGGAATCCTGGATCCTTTTTGGTTTGTTTCAATCTTGATGAAAATAGATTGATGACCATCCGTCAATAACTGGTTGGTGGTTGACGTACCCCTCTGAAAAATATGAAAGTCAGTTGGGATGATTATTCCCAACCTATGGAAAAATAAAAAATGTTCCAAACCACCAAGCAGATAATTATGGGATATTATGGGTATACAATCCAGCTGACCCTGGCACGCCAACTCCTGTTTGCTACCCAGCAACATAAAGTTTCTCGGTGTTGTTCGCATACCCTGGCAGTCACAGAATCAAAGCCAGCCCGCCAGGCTCAGGTCAGGAAAAAATAGAGGGAGCGGTTATTTGGTATTACCATTGACCACAATGTATCCCTCTGTACACAATAAATCAGGGAATATGAAGTTTGCCCTAAAATCATTTCAGAATCATCACAAAATAGATTGATTGTCTGATGGTCCTTATATATTATATATCTATTCAAACATCCTAAACTGTCCTATTAGTCTGGCTAAATGATAATTCACTCACCTGAAACGTGCGGCGAAAAAAAAAAAAAGATCATCCCCGAATCCTAACTATCATTCCAGGGAAAGCAGTGAGGTCGTGACAATTTACTGTACCCAGATAGCGTTTTTTATCACCATCGATGAGGCTTTGGGACGATCCCGAACCTCCCACAATTGAAAATGGTCATATATGTTCAGCCCACTTGGTTGGATGATTTACCTATTCTAAATGGTGTTTATAAATGGTGTTTTGCAAAGCTATTTTCTAGATTTACCAGAGGGTAGTGAAGTTCTCATTCCAAACATTTCAGGTTCAAAAACACCCCGAACAACTGCACAAAGGGCTTGCCCTACCATGGATTCCGTCTGAAATACAGCATCACGAAAAATCCAGCGCATCATTTGAGAAATGGCCAAAAAAAATATTCCGTTTAAATAGCCCATTTGCAAACACATCCAAATATCAAGCTTGTTGTTCATGCTCCATATTTTCTAGAAATATCCCATGATAGTACTTGAATCCCTTCATATCCCCATTAAATTCCCCATTGATATCCCAATATGGAAGTCCCATCGCCCATTCCGCCTGAATGAAAGCGCGAGGTGTCCGCCGGAATTGCCACCTCCGAGATCACTTGCTCTACCGTGGTGAACAGCACACCTGCGCAAAACGGCGAGAGGAGTGCTGTAGTCACGGAGGTTTTTTCCTCCAAAAACCAGGCAGTTTCCCAGTTTACAGAATTTTTCTGTGGTTGTCCATGAAGATTTGCCCAAAAATGGAGATCCAGCAAAAAAAATCATGATACACAGCTACTAGGTCGAATTAGAAGTCTTGGCTACTAAGAATGGCCCCCAATACGGACACCCCAAAATCGATGTCTGAAAAAGGTTGAAACGGATTTTTGTGAAGACCACTGTGGTTCAGAAAATATGTTTAGGTGTTTTTTTTTTTTCAGATTGTCTAAACAGCAATGAATGGAAATCGCGGTGCGTTGAGTGAAACACCATGGGAAATAGCTACAGAGATGGTAAATACCCATGTTCTTTCATATCAAAAGCTACATATACATATATTCAAATACATACCCATAGATAGATAGACATACATATATATATATATACCATATGTACTGTATATGTACTTGCAGTAGTTACCTATCCCAAACTCTTGGAGAATGATATGGCTGTGGATTTCGATGCGGCCGAGTCACGGTCAGCACCTGCAGAGTCCGGGGAAAAGTAGACCTGGCGCCGTGCCGAAAAACGGAACGGCCGTGTTTTCTTCGGTGTTTTCTTTACTGGTGCGTTTTACATAGGGAACGGATGGGTTGCTGGGGGTTGCTGGGATGATGAAATTACGAATGTGATGACGATTATGGATCATTCCCGAAAATTCCCTGCGTTCTGAGCACAAGTAAGTTTCTCAATCGATGCAGAAAGTGGCGGTATCTAATCATCGATACCTTCGATACCAAGGCGATTTTTGGGCTGGTTGGTACGTAGCTTTAGCGTGGTTCAATAAAAAGGTTTCAAACTTGTTGTAGCATCTGGATCTGCAACTATCAAACGTTAGACCACATGTTGAATCTGAGCTTGTCTGCCAAGATCAGTGGGCTAGGACCGTTTTTCATTCACAGAGCCCGTGGTGACATCGCCTTGTCCTTCAACCTTCAACCTCCATTCACCACCCAGCATTTTCTCACACCCTCCGGTAATCAAACATTGTAATTGGAAATCTACTATCAATGGAAGTTTTATAGGAACATCATTAAACCAAATAACTAAATGTGGGATTTTCCAAGCCACATTATCAGAGGATAGCCATCCCCCAGGGTCGTTCAAGCATTTTTAATCGTCGTTTCTGGTCTCTAGGCCTGGCTTAAGGCCACTGAAATTCCAAGAGATTTGGGACCGAAGATGTTCTTTACCTCGATCGATTTATTCCAGGGGGATATCCCATCTTCCGACACACTCAAAAAAATCACAGTGGTGGTTACCCTCTGGTAAACTAACATAGCTATTGAAAATGGCAATTTATAGTTGATTTACCCATGAAAGAATTGTGATTTTCCATAGTTATGTTAGTTTACCAGAGGGTATGTATCTCATTATATCAAATTGATTTCCCAATTACATCCCATTTGATGGTCACAAAGCCCATGGTTCAGATTTTTGCACTGCCCCCACACCCCCATCTGCCCATGCCGCGCACCAGGTAGTGGGTGATCAAACTGGTATCCAGGGCAGGTTGCTCCCAGCTGACATTGCCGCCCAGTTCGTTCACGTCCAGATCCAGATCAGTGAAGAGAACCTGGTGGAAAAGCGGTGCTTTTCCGAGGAAAGTCTCAGTTTTTCCCAAAGATGGGGAACTGGTGGGAACAAACAGCCATTAGTTTGTCTGAACATGGGGGATATCACAATATGTGGCGATGATGAAAATGATTACAGATAGACCATCAGATTTCGGGAGCCTTCCCTGGAACTTTCATAAATTTGGTACACCTCAGGACTTGAAGGGGATAGGGGGCCTCGCCGTTGCTGGGATGAAAGCAGACCAAAAAAAGCATGCCAGTCATGCGGTAAACCTTAGAATAAATCTACCATTTAGGGGATGGTTTATAGGAGCCATGTATGGTGATAGTGGGAAACGGTTTCTATTGGGTTTACTGTACCACATCGCAACTGTTTCTATTAGACTGTTACTTGTAATAACAATAATAAGAAGAATGACAATAACAATAACATAATAATACTAATAATAATCATCATTATTATCATCATGGAAAATTACCTATTTATATGATAAAAATGATGATTTACCTATGGAAAAAAAAAGGTTGTCCAGTTCGCTACGCAAAATAACCAGAGTGTCTCACCTACAAGAGTGAAGATACATTGATGAGGTTAGTAAATGGAGATATTTTTGCTGGTGACATCATAACCATCAACAACCATTAACAACCATATATATACATATATACATATATACATATATACATATATACATATATACATATATACATATATACATATATACATATATACATATATACATATATACATATATACATATATACATATATATATGTATATATATATAATTATATATACCAATCTAATTAATCTAATTAGGAATATTTATAATTGAATAACCAATTAACAACCACTAAATGCTGATCTTTGGAATGGTTGAACTGGTTGGGGATCCCCACCTCGCCTGTTCCGCCTGGACAGCGGTGTCCGAGATGGCCAGTGCTGCAGGGGTCGTCTCTTCCGCCAGGCTCGTTTGCTAAGCGCGGCGCTAAGCGCGGAAGGGGTTGGGGCCCTTGGAACATCTGGAACTTGGCTAGGAAAAACATCTGGAAAATGATGATCAATAGCTTCAAAAGCTGATAAAAACAGAGAAAATGATGATAAATCTTTGGATTGAGATGGATTTTTTGTTGGTGTTTGCCTCAAAGAGGGGTAACCGGGTACCCCAACCCGTTGGTTTCCCTATTTAAAAATGGCAAAAATGGCCCGGATGATGTTGGATGATTTGGGGGTCCCGATTGAAAAATAACCACCAGGTGGCAGATTTTCGCAACAAAAAAAAGATAGTATACCGAACCAAAGAAATCGGGGTTCAGGACGATATACTACAATAAGGGAGTGCGTTGTCAGAAATCAACGGTATTCGGAAAAGAGCAAAAAAAGGCAAGCTCATGCTCAGTGGCATTTGCAACAGTGGTTGTTTGTTATGGTTTTTTGGGATCCCCATTTTTAGACGTTCTGGTGTTGGTTACATCCAACGGTCGTGTTGGTTATCATAAATATATGTTTGGTTGTATCCCAAGTATAATTCTATCTAAACCAGATTCTTTGGCAATATCCAAGCTTTACTGCTCCTAATTACACACATCCTGTTAATTCTTCGTTCCAGCCCAACCACTGTCGGCCACGACTCTTTTTGATTCAATCTTCGAACTACTCTTGTCCCAAAAAAAAGGATGGCTGCCCAAAACAAAATCAAACAATCCGGAAACCGATGATCTTACCCTCTGGTAATTTAACATAACTATGGAAAATCATCATTTTTAATGGGAAAATCCACTATAAATGGTCATTTTCAATAGCTACGTTAAATTACCAGAGGGTACCCACGATTTTCCCATGGAAAATCTCCCGAACATCTCTCTATCCGCCTGGTAAACCACAAAGTGTGTGGCCGTAGCACCACCCGTGAGAGTGACCTGGGCACCGAAAAATTGGGATTGTGCCCATGGTAAGCCATGGTAAGCCATGGTGATGGTTTAATCTGGTTCATTGATGTTAGTATGGTAAAATTCGTGTATGGTGAAATTTACTGTGGGCTTTATTAAGGTTATATGATATGGCAAAATTGGATTATGTATGATGATTTATCCCAGCCATATGATGGTGTATACCCCCCATATTTATGATTGTTTATACCCCCATGTGTATATTTTTTTCGATCATAAAACACCCACTTTCTCATGGTTTATACCACCCATGTGTGGTAATATTGAGAATAGCTTCCTATTGCTTTACTCACATTAGTGGCTTGAGCTCATTATAACTTGGAGAGGTCCTTGTGGTGCCCATATTCTTTTGCGATGGTGAAACAACTGATGTTTTCCGTTCGCAGTCGTCGTTGGTGCTCCTATCCCTTGTTTTTAAAAGTGTCATGTGTTTTTGTTCACGTTGATTCCTCCTTTTCTGTTCATTAACAAATCAAACCCGCAAGTCCCAATTTGTGTGTATCACCATACCAGTAGCTTTGCAAAAAAATGGACCCCCTCCTGTTCTGTTTGTTGGTTTAATTAATTTCACCCAACAGATATAGATAGATATATATATATATATAATTATATAATTATATATATATATGTATATTGTGTCATAAATTCAACTTGGCCCTAAAAAAGTGCCGTATCCCTCTCAGCACCTCAGTGCAGCCGCGGCACCGAGGTATCTGCCGGCACGTCGAATTCACTGCTGCCGCTGGCCACGCCTGGCGCTCGGAACGGGGGCGCTCGAACGCCACGTTTTTTGGGGGACGGACCCAGATGTTTTTCGGGTGGTGAAAAAAGCTTAATTGGGTCAAAGTTCGGAAGTGTCCTTCCTATTTTTGATATTTCTTGATTGGTTTCCCTATGAAACTTTATGACCAATAATCAAGTTGGATGATATTTCAGGATTATTGGTCATTCTAATTTTCTGGGACAGCCAATTTGGTTGATTAACCTATTAGGTTAGCCAGTTGAAATCTAACCAGTTAGGATCCCCTGTTTTGGGCAACCCCCTTTTCTGGGGCCCGCCTGTCTCGTTGGTCAGACGCTTTCGGCCCGTGCCCGCCGCGTCAGAGGCCAGATAGACGTGGTAGGACTCCTAGGCATAGGGATTTCACCATGCAAATCTATGGGATACAACACAAATATGATGATTACATATTGGAATATCATGGAATATTGATGGGAAATTCATGGAATATTGATGGGAATATCATGGAATATTGATGGGATATTCATGGAGTTTTGATTGTAACACTGGGTTTATCACATGATAAGGTTTATCAGATGATGTTACCATTAAAACCTCCATTGATAAGGTTGAAGATATTGGTATTGCTATACCAAAAGTTGATGGTTTAATGCGAAATAATGGAAACTTATGGTGATTAATAAGGCATTCACTATCAAAAATGGATATATTATGATATATTCATGGGAATTAGCCTCTGGTAAATTGTTACAGTTTGCTATGGTACAGATGGCCCATTTAGTCCTATGTTTTACCTATGTTTTTGATGGTGATTGTCGAGGCTATCTACAAAAATATTCAGATACAATGATGGGGTCAGTAAATCGATATATTTAATGGGGATACAATAACAATTTTTAGCTGTGGGCAAAACCTGGGTCTTCCGCGATCATATCTATCGTTGAAATAAGGAATGTGGCGAGAAACGCTTTTCGATGCTTTTCGGGTTCCGCGGCGCTTCCACGAGCCCTGCTTTTCAATCCCCTTCCGCGAAGGCTTGCGCGGAGCTTCCTCCAGCTCAATTAACATCAATTAACATCAATTAACAACCCGTTCATGTTAATGTGATGGTGATATCCAATATCATGACCATTCACAACCAATGGGGAGATCGTTGGACCATGGGGATGTGCTAGATTTGTTGCTTCGTGGCCTTCCCAAAGTTTCCAAGAACTGGGTCGCAACGAACTCCAAATCGGATGGGGGGTTCGAACAAAAAAAAAAACTTCCCTTCCAAGTTGCGAATTCTTCTCAGTTTCACATACCCTCTGGTAAACGTTTACATAGCGAACTGGAAAGATCCACCATTTTTCATAGGGAAAACTCACTATTTCTATGACCATGTTCCACAGCTTTTTGTATGTTTACCAGAGGGTGAATTCCCATGACATCCCATCAATCCCATGGAAAATCCTAGAAAAAATGGTCATTGTTTTCGTGAGTTTTCCCATTCAAAATGCTCATTGGTTGAGGCTAGTTTCACCCAAACTGGGTGTGTCATCCGACATCAGGAGACCGAGTGACCACTTTGTATCGGTAGGAGTGTTCCTTCCAGTCCAGGACTCCGCCAAGCTGACGCAAAATAGCCGGTGGCTATAGCTGGTGCTTTTTTGGGGGGATGGTGATGGTTACTTTATGATGGGTTTAACAAAATCATGGATGTAAATCATATATGTAAACCATGGGCTTTGTGACCATTTAGATAAATGGGATGTCATTGGGAAAAAAAAATCGATATAATGAGATACAAACCCTCTGGTAAACGTTTACATAACTATGGAAAGATCCACCATTTTTAATGGGTAAATCAACTATAAATCGGCCATTTCTATAGCTATGTTAGTTTACCAGAGGGTAAATCATGTTGAATAATGATTTTCACAAAATTGGTTTATGATTGGTTTACCAAACAAACTACAAAGCTGGATGTATTTTTTTGCCAAACATCCCACCGGTAAATCATGTTGAAACGAACTTTATCTCCAGAAATCTCTGGTAAAATACCTTGCGTGGTTAGTTTGTACTCCACCTACTTTTTGGCTAAATATCCACACTCCTTGAGTCACAGAGTACATTATTCATCAGCTATCACACAACATAGGTATCTACCCCGTTTAACCCTTTGTTTTGCTGGTGCATCTCGGTTAAAAGACCCCATCTTGAGGCACCCGCCTCACATGTGCCACGGTCACATGGGCTTGACCATCAAAAACTGGGTATACCATCCAATTCCTGACTCTAGTTGGTCCCTTTTTTCATCATAAGATATCCCCTTTAGATTATGAATATATATATATATAAATATGTATATATATATATATATATATATATGGGTAAATTATAATATTTCACTAACCTGAATTAAGGCCATTTGGGGATGATTTCCCAGATATATATATATATACATATATTCATATATTGGATGTCCCAAACATCATGCAAATTTAACCCCTGCGCCCACCTCCGCTGGGTCCAGATCCAAATCGGTGAAGGTCAACTCCCGGACGTCGAAGACTCGGATTTCAACCAGTCAAGGTCCATCTAGATCCTAGATCCTAGTGATTCATAGTGATTAGTAGTGATTTATAGTGATTAGTAGTGATTTATAGTGATTAGTAGTGATTTATAGTGATCCTGAATCTGATTTATTTGATTTCTGATCCATCTAGATCCGATCGATCCTGATTTCTGAAGGCCATCCACTTCAATGGCGAAAGAACTGGGGCCCCCAGGCAATCATCTGGGATGTAGCGCGTGGCAGGCCAGGTCTGTTCCTGTAAAGCCTTGGCCATCCAAAGGCTCTTGGTGGGATGTTTATAGGAATATGAGTTCCATTGAATATAGGTATTATGGTGATACGGTGGATGGTTGCGAAATCCTGCACCACCTTGGATGGTTGAAACCCCCTATAAATAATGTGGTAAATCACCTATCAACTGGTGCAGGATTTCTTCCATCCACCGTATGTTTATTAGTTCCATTAGGATGTATTTCCCTAGACCCTAAATATTTATGGGAATAATTTTCATAGTATATCAATATGAATATGAATGGAAATAGAATGGAATATTGATGGGATATGAATAATAGGATATGAATGCGATAATAGTTCCATGGGATACTAATAGAATATACTGGAATATGTTCATGGCAATTCTCCTGGAATCTTCGTGGTATTTTTTGCAGTTCATTGTTTCCCCATGGAGGTTTTCCAAGGCAGGCAATGGATGGTCAAATAGCTCAACAGCTCCAGAATCCACGGTTTAGCAAACTGGAGTCGTTCATTGCGGGATTTAGGTGTGATTCTTTGAGGTTATTCGAATATTCGAACCCGAGGTAGCACACCCGTATTGATTCAAGTGACTGATAGACAATTTTTTAATAGTCATGAGAGTATCGCAACCTAAGAAAAGATGCCAAAAATTATCTCAGTGAACCCTGGATAGTATGCCACAGATGTTTCCCCCATAGAACTTCCTGGCGCTTCCAACGCTTCTGTGGCGAGACGAGAACATCTGGCACTCGACCCATCGACCCATCCCCATATCGCTGGCGAACACTGGCAGCATAGAGCAGCAGGTAGTCACTGGAACCGATGGCTGTCTCCGCAGCGATGTTGATCTGCGAAAAGAATAGAGATCTTGGAAGGAAAACCCATGGGATTATTGATCTATATATATATATAATATCACATATATATTATATTATATTATATTATATTATATTATGTTATATTATATTATATTATATTACATTATATTATATTATATTATATTTTATTGATATTATATTGATATTATATTGATATCATATTATACTATATTGTGTTGTTTTGTTTTATTCTATATTTATATTATATCATATTATATTATATTATATTGATATTATATTATTTGATATTATATCATATCAATTCATATCATATTATATCATTTTATATACTGTATATATATATATATCATCTGCTGCGTTTTAGATGGTTGATACACATGTTTGTTTGATTCTTGTATATGATTCTTCGTGGTCAATCTTTGATCCATCTTTGCCATGCTTGGAGATGGGGGTCTGGGAACCACTGTTGGCTTGGGATATTTTCTCAATGCAATTTGTAAACCAACTTGTAGCTGGGTCCAGCAACAAAATCTAGTTGCTGGTTGACCTACCCCAACTGTTTCTGGAAAGTCATTCAAAATTCCATGGTTCCAGTCACCACCAAGCAGAAATTTCAAGGGAAATTTCCATGTTTTGTCCCAAAGAATCATGGCTTCGTCCTTTCCAATGCACGCTTTCCCCGACATTTCCCCGACATTTCCCCGTTCCATCTCTGCGCTCCGAGGTCCCAGGCAAAGTTCCACCAAATGCTGGTGCCAAGCAGCAGATCCTACGGATTCACCAGCTGAGAAGGCTAATAGTCATGGTAGATGGGTAATGGTGATGGTAGATGAAGCATATGATCCAACCAATGATAAATAGATAAATGGTATGAATATGTATGAATATTCAAAAAACTCCAGTAACCCAGCTTTGCAACTCAGGTTCCAGGGTTCTCCAGGATTCCAAACCTACAAAAATCACACCCAACAGCCACTGTTGGGAATTCCAAAGGATTACAACAATGAATGATGATATAACTGCCATTATATTGGCTACCCTCTGGCAAACTAACGTAACTATGGAAAATCACAATTTTTAATGGGTAAATCCACTATTTCTATGGCCATGTTCAATAGCTATGTTAGTTTACCAGAGGGTAGATTTGGCTAGGAGAATCTCTGAACTAATCCTAACTAATCATCAACCAACTCAACGTTTACAGGATCTGGATGGTGGCCCATCCCAAGAAAAGAAAATGGTGGTGGTGTGACCCTGGTTATACATGGGCTGCAGTTCCGGCCACAGCTATGGGCTCCTAATGATATGTATATATATATATAATTAATTAATTAATTAACCAACTTAGTAACTAGTTATAGGATGTTATAATTCCATTCAGAAAACGGTGAAAACAGTTTTTTGGGGGGGCCATAACAAAAAAGGGCCGTCCAGTTATCCCGCCTGGGTGGGAGTCCACAGATTCCAGTCGCCCCAAGAATCCGTACCATAGCCTGGATGTTAACAGTCCCGGTCATCAAGAAATGCTATGGGATATCTAGCAATATCTTGTCATATCATCATATCTGGGTAAATTATAATAATTCACTGATTTGAACTAAGGCCATTTGGGGATGATTTCCCTACAATAAACCATGATTCCACGGCTCGGGAGAACAGTGAGGTCGTGATGAAATTTACCCAGATCATATCTACTTGGGTTTTTGGGGACTGGATTAGCCGCATAAATGGAGGTTTCCATCAATGGAGATATTCCCATAGCTGGATGATTTGGAGGTACCCCGATTGAAATGGAAACCTCCATATGGTCCATATAGCAATATCTTATCATATCTAGTCTTGTCCGAAAACTGAAAAATTACCCCTAGCATTGTATATATATATATTTCAAGATTATATAATGGGAGATTGATGATCAAGCATGGGATTTGGGGGTGGCCTACTTTCAGACAAACCCAAATGTCGACCCCAAGACTCCTATTTGACTGGATGGATTCTACGCGGACATAGAAATTGCTGCAAACGGCTGTTTTTCTCGAACCTGGTGTCCATCATTGTTCTGTTCAGCTGACCATGACTATGTTGATTTAAAAGAGTGTTATCATCACCAGGGCTGCTCCAACTTGAATCATAGCCACTAGGGGAGGTAAATTGGTAATATGATGTCTTTATTTACTCAGTTTCCCCCTGTTGTATCTGGGGTGGCAGGGGAGCAGCCCTGACAATCAGCTGAAAAATGGGGTCGGATGATGCTCCTCGAAAGACTTGGAAGTGGTTAGCCAATAACCGCAGGCTTCTTTGACTCATGCGAAATACTGGACCAATCAACAAGGTTACATATATCCAAGAGATTCCAAGAGTCATGGGGATAGTTTCTGAGCCATGGTGAGGAAACGCCCCCTTCTTGGGGTTATCCGGTTATCCGATGTACGGAATGCAACCTTACTGAGATGATCTTGTCAACCTAGGATGAGTGAGTTCGCCCCAAAAAAATCAAAGGATGCTACCCTATTTTGATACAAATTTGATGTAGTATGTCACTTTTTGTGGTCGGGTAACCCCCAAGTTATATCTCCCAACACAGTTTGTCCAAAAAATCCGCGGAGATCCGCCTTGAACACCCGTGAAACTCCGTGGTGGTCGGTTCACAGATATGTCCTCTATGACCGCATGGCCTTTTTGGGGCTACACAACGTGCAATTTAAAAAAAACACACACACTTAGAAACACGTGTCCAAACATTTCCAGGAGATGTTTCACCCCAAAAAATGGAGATCAAAAACATGATTTTAACCCATTTCGTGCTGTTTGTCTCCTCTATGTTTGCTTGAATCTCCCCATTCATGGCTCGGCCCAGAAGCTGTGGCTCAGCCGACCAAAGTAGAGGTTGTAGTGCGTCACCAGCGACTCCGCAACTGGCACATCCTAACGGCCAAGGTTTGAAGGGTGTAAAATCAAGGGCAAAACCCTGGGAAGTTGAGGTTGTTACAATTCATCCAGATTAACATATGGCAACAGGGGATTCACGTATGTTTTGATTAACCCCATCATCTGCCCCTGATTCAAAGAAAACATATGGTTCTATAAGGCTAAATCATGTAGAAAATCCCCAGGTCTAAATCCATGTTTTTTTGGCTTACCATCTGGTTATTTAACAGTTCGCCATGGAAAGATCCACCATTTTTAAGAACGGTAAACCATCTATTTCTATGGGCCATCTATACCATGGCTATGTTAGTCATAACCAGAGGGTAATGGACGTTGATTGTAATGATCTGGATTTCACCAACAAAAATCAGGGGAAAAACCGGTCTCATCTGCGTCCAGTGGCCCAGACCACCGACCCTCCAAGCTCGCCCAGGTCTAAATCCAGGTCGTCGATGTTGAGATTTGTCACCTGGAAAACGCCAGGTGATAGGGATTTCACCAACAAATATGGAGGATGGATGGATGGATGGATGGATGGATGGATGGATGGATGGATGGATAGATAGATAGATAGATAGATAGATAGTTGGGGATATTTCATGGAAATTCATGGGATCTTAAGGCCCCACACATTCGATGTTTATCGCTGAGAACATCATCGAACTGTTGCTGGGGGATTTTCCAGCCAGCGGGTCCCATGGGCCACGACTAAAGTCCCAGTTCTTACGAAGCATTGGGTTGGTTTAAGGGAAAATCTACAGGAAACCCATGGGTTTTTACCATCAAATATAGGGTTTTCCTGTAAATTTTCCCATCATCCAATTCTATGAATCAAATGTTGGTATGTTTAATGTTCATAACAACTGGGAGTAAATAACATTATAACATATTATAACCATATAACATATGATTAATGTTCATAAGCATCAGTTATAACAACTCATTAAACATATCATATGGTGATATAACCATATAACATCAAATGTTCATCGGTTATATCACCATATGATATGTTTAATGAGTAAACCCCCGTTTAAAAAGATAGCAGAAATTGAATTTAGTGCCATGTCACTTGGGTTTGCCTTGCTATTGTTTAAAGGTTTTCTCTGGGTTACTCTATACCATGATCGCCTCAAAATTGACGAACCAATGCACCATCTTTACCATCGAAATCAACAATCTTTTACCATATGATGGAACCAGAGGGTATCTTAAAAAAATCCCATGAATTCCCATGATCTTCCCATTGTTATGAGGATTAATTCCCATATAAATCCCATTAGTAAAAATCCCGATCTAAGATCAGGATTCATTCCCATAAAAATATATAAAAATGATGGTTCATCCTCAATTTTTACTAACCCACCCGGCTCTACACACTGTCGGCCGAACCTGAAAGTTGGTATCGCTCACGTTTTTCCAGGTCGGGGTGGTCTGCTCCTCCAAAGTTGACACCGTGTGGACCAAGACCTGGCGAACATGGCAAGGTGCAAGATGGCCATGGTGATCTAACCGTGGAAAAATGGTGATTTACAGGAAATGTAGAGAGGATGGACTGGGGATTTATAGGGATTTGTTATGGGATTTGTTATGGGATATGATGTGGGATATCATCGGGATAGCTTATGAGAATTGGATATGAAAATGGGATAATTTCATGATGATTTAACCGCAAACAATTGGGATTCGATGGGATTTAAGCAATGGGAATATCTTGTGGTATGTTGGGGGTTTAAGCATCATAATGAGAGTGAGAGCTTAGAACCATCCAACAGGGTTGCTCCCAGCCAGATACAGGTGGGAGGTGTTTTTGGGTAAACTCCCGCTATGATTTGACTGCAATTGGCTGGAAGAAGCCGCCGTTTAAATTTGGCATATTCTACCGGCATGTGATGTTCGGATATGATGCAGAGAGCCAACTTGGCCATCAGATCAGAGGCAAAAACCATCATTTTTTGGGGGGGTCCATAAATGGGATCTGCTACAGGATCCCCAAAATGCTTCTTATAATGATATAGTTTTAGTGGATCCGAAAATAAAAATTAGAACCACTTAAAATCCAAATGGTATCCCAATAGCTGGATGGTTTATTTCATGGAAAATCCGAAAATAAAATCGATGATTTGGGGGTACCCCCCATTTTGAAAACCTCCATATGGATTTTAAGATGACTAGGTCTTATCCACAGTCTGGAAATCACCAAGAGGCGTCTCTGAGGCCTTGCCAAAAGATCGAACTCTTCTACGTGCGGATTCATGTGTACATCTGCATGTATATGTATATAATTGTATATATATATATATGTAGTATAGTCATGTATAGTCTACTGTGCATATATATATATATACAGTATACACTACATATATGAAATTGCGTGTTCAGCTTTCGAAAACTAGGAGTTCAGACACTATCAGGTCACTATCACGTGATGCCTCCATCCCCATGTGGAATGGCCCAAGACACGTGGGTCACTTGGGTGGGCTGCAGAACGCAGGGCCGAATCCCTGACGTGTAGTCACCTGAGCCATGGTCATGGGGACATCCCATTGTGGGCATGTGTCCCGATAAAAGACCCACTGGGGTATAGCCTCAAAATATAACTGGTTTAGATTGTCCGTGTTCATCATTTATACCATGACAATACTTGAGGGTTTGTAAAAACCCCGAGCCCTTTCAAATGGTTTTTCCAGAAGTTATCGTTTTTTTGTCCTCTTATCGTTTTTCCAAGCGCTGGCTTCACACCTTGATGAAAGAATTCACATGAGCGAGGAAAGGGAAAAGGAAAAGGAATAGTAAAGGAAGGGAAAGGAAAGAATAGAAAAGGGAGAGGAAAAGGAAAGAGAAAGGAAAAGGAAAGGGAAAGGAAAAGGAAAGGGAAAGGAAAAAGAACGCGAAAGGAAAACGAAAACGAAAGGAAAAGGAACGGAAAAGGAAACGAAAAAGGAAAGGAAAAAGGAAAGGAAAAAGGAAAGGAGAAGAAAAAGGAAGAGTAAAGGAAGAAACAGGAAAAAGGAAAAAGGAAAAGAAAGGGAGAGGAAAGGGAGAGGAAAAGGGAAAAAGGCAGTGTCTCACACGGAGCATTTTTGATGTCAAAAGTTATCGTTTTCGTTATCGTTTTGGTATCGTTCGTGAATCCTGTGTGTGTGTGTTCCTTTTTTGGGGGAAATGGCTGCAATCATCAAAAAAGGAGTGTAGCGACCACCTACCAGGCACCTTCCTTGTGCAGAATCTGCGCCATTACGACAACAAACAATGAAGGAAGATACCAAAAACGCTAAATAGCCGCAGAATGATGGAAAAATCAAGAACTTTGGATTTCAAGAGTCTGGAAATAGATCATTAACATAACCAACGTGATCGTTTTCTTTTCCTCTTATCGTTTTTTCGAGTGAAAGCTAAAAATGGCTCATGGGGGATCATGGAAGACTAAACGAATAGGCACGGGGTTTTTACAAACTCCCACTTTGGATGCACATCCCAAGAATCACCAATGAATCTGCTTGCAGGGGGGCATTGCTGAAAATTCGTCGCAAGTCCCTGGGGGTGCCATAATTGTCATTTTGCTTCTATGGGGAAAGGTAAAAAAAAAACACATCGAAGATAAAAAATTGGCGTTGTCTGAAAATAGGGTACCCCCAAAATCCCATGAAAACATCATTTTCCTTATGAAAAATGGCCATTTGGGGAATAAAAACCCCATTTTCAGATACACTCAACTTGAACCATCTTCTAAGTGGCACTTCAGAGGGGTGGCTCTGTAGTCATCGTCTTCATTACCAGAGGGAAAATACCCATGATATTGAAAATGTGTTGATGCTATTCCCATAATTATACATAAGGTGTATTTTTGTGTGTATATTTATATAGTATTGTATATCTATAATCAATTTGAAACCCTCCATGTTTCCATCATCTTTGATCTAGTTCCCATTCCCATTGTGACATCCATTCCGTCCAAAAAAGAACCGACGCCAGGGGCACAGTAGGGCAAGGCCGTGTTCGCTGGCACGCTCCCCTCATTGGTTCCCACGGGCACTTCCGGAGCAGCCGTGATCCTGCAGATCCAACGGGGGGAGCTTTTCAGTGACAGAATGGGGAGTTCAACCAACAAATTTCAATGTGTATAGATATATATATATATACGTATATGTATATATATATATATAGTTATGTATATATATATATATATGTATGTATATATATATATAATTATATATATATATATGTGTGTAATTATTACATTTGTAATTATATATGTATGTATACCTACATATACATATTCCTGTGTATATGTAAATGTATACATTTAAAAAAAAAAAAAAACATATACATACATACATATATATATATATCATATAATTCATATAATCAATGATTATATCATCATATTATATAATCATATATATATATATACATGTGTGTGTGCCATATAAGTATATATAAGTATTCTCTGTATGTGTATATATATATATACATATTTGCATTGGGAGTTTGAATGGAATTCAACTCAAACAACCAAGATGCAAATAGTAGCCTAGTGGCCTAGTCGTTGAAGATAGTGAAATTCATGGTTTACCAAGATGGTTGCCATCAACGGTGATGTCAGCCATGAAACCGCTAGGTTTGTTCTAGCTTGAATGATAGTCAGAAATCCCAATCATTACAAATCTGTTTGTGTAGTAAATGTATAGTAAATGTATAGTAAATGTAACATGCCCCAAGGGTGTCTTATCCATATTCAGCTTTCTTTCAGGGTCAAACCGAAATATATATATATATATATCTGGCTCAAGGTCTAGCAAGGTCATTGACACTCCTTCTGGGATGGTTTTTTTTTCCCTTGCAACGCTTGGAAACCCTCAGAAACCTGACTCAACCAGAAATGGTGTGCAGTTTGGCATCAAATCGACCAATTCTCCTTTTGAAAATCACCATCCACTGCAGAAACCCTCTTGTACGAAAATCTACGATGTTTGGAGAATCCCATCGTAGGATGTTTTAATCTTGGCGTCAATTGGATTCCTTCCCCCATCTTCCCTCAACAGACTCAACAGCCAACCTTTCTGCTGCCGAGACCTCAGCCTAGTCGGCGGTGTGACCGGCGTCATTGCCGTCGCAACGCCAATAGATGAAGAGCAAAATAGCCATGGTGGATTTCAAACTCACATCCGAGACTGTGTAGAAACGCTGGCAGGCATAGGAACTGAAAAACCCCCAGAGACTGCAGAGATAAACGCAGGTGTAGATGATAAACATGCATTCCTTCACGATGATGCTGTAGCCCTTCAGGGCCGGTTGGCTTGTCAACAAAAGTCGGTCACAAACCAGCACAATTTCATCCACAATGACCACCACGTAGGCCACGCAGCCCAAGGTGTTCAGGATCCAACCCATCCAAGGGTCAGCAACTACGCAGCCCAAGAAACAGGCCCAGCAATATGCCCACGTCGCAGCTTGTTGGGGGAAGATCCGGAGCAGCACGCTGCATGCCGTCCTAAGGGATCCAGACGTGGTAAAGCAAAACACGATCTGAGATCATGTGATGTGATACAAAAAACTTGGAGAATTCAATGGATGTACCCTCTGGTTATTTAACATAGCCATGGAAATGGTCCATTTATAGATGATTTTCCCATTAAAACCTCTATTTATAAGGGATTGTCCATGGCTACGGTAGTCATAACCAGATGGTCATCGCATTGTGGGTACTGGACCAATCTTACGATTCGAGCAAGACGTTTCCCCACGTCTTGATATGAGGCTCCAGGAGTACGCTCGCTTTCCGTTGCATCAGTCATCCACAAAAAAAGAAAAAACACCGTTACATCATAGTCGAAATAAAAGCTTGTTTTAAAGCGCTTAGTCGGGTTTCTGGTCATCCATTATAGGGTATAAGTTCATGAACATCAAGGTGGGAATTGCAAAGGACCAGCCGATCCAACGAGTCATGTAGATGGGCCTGTAGTCAACACACCGCCTTGGATGTTGCTTCAGGAGCTACAATCACTGCCTTTCCTAAAGTACAGATCAGTACAGTATGTTATATGTATATGATATGTATATAATTGATTATAGCATATAAAAAAGCACAAAAAAGTACAGGGCCAATAGGTTTGTCTGGCAATAAGGTGCCACAAAAAACCCCTCTGGTTTAGATCATCTGTTCCTATGAAAATGCTGTTTTTGGGATATCCTCTATGTTTAGACACATCCACATAGATTCCCCATGGATCAAATTGCTGGATTTTCAACGACTTGGCAGCTCGGGGGCTGATTCCAAAAGGCAAAATCATAGCCCTCAGACAGCAGCGTGTAGTAAGCGATCTTCACGGTGAATTCCCACATGGATACTCGGCAGATCATCAACATTCGATGACGCGGTCTGCGCGAGCACATTTCACGGAAATGAAACAAGGCGAGCAAAAGCAACGGCACTACCAGCACGTGACGAGCCACGGCAAAAAGGGCGATTTCATCCGGGTTCACATCCAGGTAGTAGGGACCGAGTGGCCAGTAGACATGAGCAATCAAGCAGCAAGCAACCTGTGCCACTGTGAAATGCACACACCATCTGGCCGAAGACGGCCAGTTGTTCCAAATTTTCAACATAATGGGGGTGAGCAAAATAATCGAGGCACCACCCGTTGGCCGAGAATAGACGGCTCAAAACCTGGTTCTTGAGCATTGGAACACTGCGGCACCAATTTCCGATTTCCGCATGGTCTTGGAGTCAAAGCAAAAACCTGTGGTAGCCTCTGGTAAATTAACGTAGCTATGGAAAGATCCACCATTTTATAGCTGGGTAAATCAACTATTTCGACTGGGCCATGGCTTCAATAGCAAACTGTTTGACATAACCAGAGGGTACCGACTTGGCATTTTCCCCGCCTATCAAGGCCGCGCTGATCCATGGCAATGAAGACCCTGTATGCCTTGACCACTTCCTCGGCTACGCATGGCTACGCGGCTACGCAGTTCCAAGAGATGGCGCTCAACAATGGCGGAAGCCCACCACCGGTGGCATTTTCTATGGCCAGCCAGGCTTTTTCTATCTGAAGTTTTAGGGGAGGAAACTGAGGAAACAGAAAAATTTCATGATGAGTCATCCTGGTACGACTAAACTGGCTATCTTTTTCGATGTATCCCCGACATTTTTCGACAGAGCCTGGTACGCCAAAAATCCTCCAATGACTAGGGGAGATCTTCATCCCCATGACGACCAAGTCGTCCAAGTACTGGGATCTATACAGTATATCGTTTCTACGACAATGTCAGGTATTTACCAATGAAGTGAAACGATTTTTGTTGCATCCCCAACTGGAATATTCATCAAAATATATCAAAATTATAGCAATATACCATGGGATATATGAATCATTATGAATCGATATATTGCTATGTGGGATGATTTCAGACATAGATCGCCATCTATGGGACTGTCTGTGGTCATCCCATGTCATCCCGTAGTCCATCCCCTTGTTGTGGTCCATCCCAAGCGTTGCGCGGCTCGAAGAAAGCGGGGTAGTACAACTTCCGCAGCTGAAAATAAACGGAACCCAACAGGAAAAATGAAAATGTTGAAAGGTATATTATGGATGGTATATACTTGGGAATAAGGATTAAGATGTGAAGCGTTTTTTTCTCCCACCAACCCAAAAAGAAGAGGCGTTTATTGGAAATGTTCCCATTTTAGTTTCCCAAGTTTAATAGTTAACTTATTTTCAGGCAAGCCCAGCTTGTATCATCGTACTTGCCAATAAGATCCCTGCATTGAAACGGCGGAATACTTGTTTGGGTTGCTCAGATGCCAAATGTTATGCTTGAATTGTCCCCATGTTTGGCGGAGATTTCTCCCAACATCTACTAACATTCATGGCTCATGGAGAAACAAACACCTTTTCCTGGCGAAAATGTTCATCTTGGCAGGATAAATGTCCCTTATTGGCTTGGTCAAACGGCTGTTTCTCCAAATTATATAAAATGCCCCCATCAAAAATGACCCATACCCTCTGATAATCAAATATGGCTGGAAAATCATCCTGTTTCGTCGCTAATCACAGTAAATCTTATAATGTATATATATATATATATTTAATATAATGTAATATAATATAATATAATATAATAAAATATAATATGATATGATATAATATTATAATAATATGTTATATAATATTATAATATAATATAATATAATATCATATAATATAATATAATATTACAATATTATATAATATAATATTATAATATAATATTATAATATAATATGATATAATAGGATATAATATGATATAATACATAATATAATAATGGAATGCATATCATATATATATGTGTGTGTGTCTTATTAATATATATATATATACATATTAATACAAATATATATATGGTATATAATATATATATATATATCATATATATATATATATCATATATATATATCAGATATATATATATATCAGATATATACATATATATATATATATATCGTATATATATATATATCAAATTAATGTGTGTATATATACATCATATTAATAGATTTTTATATGTACTACTATATATATTAATATAGATATATATATATATTATCATTTGTAGTAGTATTATTATTATTGATATATATATATATATGGGAATTTCCGGAGGCTACCTTGGACGATGTCGGCTGAGGCACCACGAAATGACTTGGCTCGTCCCACGTCACAGTACCTGGGATCCAAATACTAGGGCAGGGATTAGGACCCTAAGACTAAATTTATTTGTTTAGTCCTGGGTATAGATCCAAAATTTATTGTTTTTTTGGGGGGATCCCAATATTAGAAACCCAGGGTCCCAGGAATATTACAGTTTGTGTTACCCAGCGTTTTCAACAAAACCCCAGCCTGTGGGCTGAATATGTTCGTCCACTATAGAGGGATGCCCTATATTTGGAGCATTTGAATGGGAAATCATCCCCTCATGCGACTTCGAAACCCAGAATATGTTCAATAGCTCATATGGGGATCGGGATTTCTATCAAGTGCATATGAAACATGGAGAAACCGCTGTTCGTAGTGCTGTAATACAATCATGAAAAATCATAAAGCAAATACCCTTCTTCGATGGATTTCTTCGGGACTGCCGCTAAGGTTGGATGGTTTCATAGAAAAGTGACCCAAATCTGCCGGTTTTGAAGCCTTCGACTTTAGCCCATCGCGGCTTGATGGTTCTACCGGGCCTAATCGAGGAGTCCCATTTCACCGCCTTGGGTACTCCAGGTTCCCAGCTGGAAAGGACTTCCCGTGCTCCAGGTCGGTCAAGATCAGGGTAAGACCCGCAACTATGATGTCGAGCTCGGAATAAACCCGTGTTGATGAATTAGGCGGTCCCTCCAATATTGACATTTTGGGACTAAAATTGCTAAGATAGTCTCCCCCAATTAAACAGCCTGCCGTGTTAGCAACATCCGTAAATCCCCAAATTTAAAAGGTTAAATCTTCATTTTGGCAGCTGAAATTTCAGTATTTTGCCTGGTGAAGTTCCATGTTTTCTGATTTTGCCGGGTGCACTTTTTGGCCAAAAAACTGAACCAATGGTGAAGCCCCCTATTTGGATCCAACCCCTGGATCCAACTCGCGCAGCCTCCCGCCTCCAACTTCGTTGACGTCGAGGTCTTCGTCGGGGAAGCTGATGTTTGAGACGCTGGCGTTAGCATCAGCGATCTCGAAGGCCGCGGGGGTCCTGGGGTGAAGCAAGGGAGGGTGCTGCGGAAGACAAAGACCTGGGAACAAGTGCGAAAACCTGAGAGAAACCTATGAAAACCTGGGAAAAAGATGTGAAAAACTGGGGAAAACCTTGGAAACACCTGAGAAAAACTGGAAATGGATGCAAAAATGGATGAAACATGCAAAAGATGTTTGGGGAAGTTCAGAAAGTTCCAAAATGTTCCGAGAAGAAGTTCCAGCCACAGTGATTTCCCATTTTTAAGGAGGATGGCCTAACCTTGTCTCGCCCCATGGCACCTCATCTCCACTGTGCTGGAAAGGGAGTAGACCAAGAGGTGCGTCATACGCTCCTTTTGGGGCGGCTGGGGTGTCACTGGAAGTGTGAGATATCATCGATATCATCCCCGACTCAAGTGGCAGTGGGTCAAAACCCTATCCCCCTGGTGAACCCCAAAATAGCTGGTAAATGGATGTTCATCCCACTAAAAATGGTATTAATAGGTATTGACACATACCCAAGTTTGACAACTGAAGATCATCAATTTTTTGAGGAAGTTAGTTTTCCAACCCCGACTGTTGGCTGGGTCCATATTAGTGGGGGGCTGATAAAACCAATTGAAAGTGTGGATGACGTGGAGAAAAAAAAACTCTGGCTAAACTCAGCTGTGTTCAGAGAACCTGTCAAAAAAACTATTGAAAAACAGGAAAAAGTGAAGCCAAATCATCCAGTTACCCTCTGGTAGTCTAACATGGCTATGGAAAAATGCCCCATCTTCGATGATTATGATGATTTACCTCTTACTTCATTGGTGATGTTCGATAGCGGATCACTTGATCAGTCAACAAGTAAATCAAGCGCCGATGGAGATTCCACCGGAATATGGAGGAGTTCACCATTCACTCATCCCCAAAGGGGCCCTTTTAGTCTGAAGATGTTGGGAAAACCCATGGTTTCAACCCCAAAAAATATCCATTGGATGATCAAAAAGCCCTCTAAAATGACCATAGTATCAAGCTCCTCCATCTTCAAAAACACCCTCAGTTTCTGAAGGTTCAAAAAGTGGTCCGAAAAATCGCTGTGTAGCCAGGTGTAGCCATCATAAAAAGTGTCATTGATGGGGATTACCCTCTGGTAAATTAACATAGACCCTGGCATTTATCGGGTTTGGAAGATTTGTTTCCAGCAAAAAAACTGGGCTTTCAGGGTCTATGTGAATTTTACCAAAGGGTGGTAATAGCCATTAATCATCATTAACCACCATTAACCATCATTAACTCATTAACCATCCATTAACCATCATTACACCAATAACTCCATTATGTTAATGTATCAGAGGATAACCCAATTAACCCCATGTTCAGATCGCCATAGAGCCACTCTCCAACTGGACCCCCCACCTGAGGCAAGTTGTGAGGACCCAAGTCGACCCAGTCGGTCAGATTTCCTGGGTCCGAAAGGTGCATCCACCCTGATTTAATCAGGGGTGGTAACATGACTTACCCTCTGGTTAATGAATGGGATTTATAGTGATTTAATGGGATTTTATAGTGATTCAATGGGATATTAATGGGATATACCCTCTGGTTATGTCAAAATAGCTATTGAAGCCATGGCCCAGTCGATTTATAGTGGATTTACCCAGCTACATAGCATGGTGATTTTCCATGGTGATGTTAGTTTACCAGAGGGAAACTAGCAAAAAGTTTACCAAAAATGTGATTTGTTGATAGCTAAGTTGCTTCTTATAACTTGGTGAATTGTTGGGTTGATTGGGGGAAGATTTCAGGAACTACTTCGTGAATGTTAACGGGATAAACCTTCCCATCACCGGGGGGGATCTTCGTGGGATGAAGCTGCATGGTATGACTGTGGCAAAGTCAACCGAGGATGGGATCCAATCC